GATACACTTTAATGATAACTGAGCTAAAGGTGCCCACACACCTTGCGATAATCGTACGGTAATCGCGGGAAATCCCACGATCGTACGATTATCGTAAGGTGTGTGGAAGCTGTGCGACCTCTACTACTGTAAGGTCGCACTACTTTTATCTTACGAACATGTTCGAAAACCCGCCGAGAATCGTACGATTTTCGGCGGGTGTGTAGCATGGGCATTGTGGTCATCGGAAGCTCGCCCCTCAGCGAGGCGGGCTTGCGATCATCGCAAGTACGATCTGCCTGTCCAAGATAGGCAGATCGTACGTTTTTTTAATTACCTTATAACCATCGCAAGACAAAAGTCTTGCGATGGTTGTAAGGTGTGTGCCCAGCCTAAGATGGTTTACCATTAGAACAAATGGAGGAGGGGCTTCTTAAAATTTTGCTTTGCAGTGATATGCAAGCAAAAAAATATAAATCAGTCATTTCAAGTAGTAAAATCCATTTTCAACATTTTTATTTCTTGGATATATTTTTAAATAAATCATATCAATTGTTAATAAGGAACTTACTGATTAAATTCAAATGCACATATAAAAGCATGACAGAACACATCATCTTATGTAATGGAGACAAGTAGAGAGAGGTGCTCTGTAGTCCAATCGATGAGAACTCAGGAAGGCTCACGGAAATGCCTGGAATATTAGTGCAGTACAGGTAGCATTGTCAGCTCAGTATCGGAAGTTAGGAGCTCACTAGATTTGTGGAATGATTAACATATATTGTCCGGTACATGCAGCATTTTTTAAGATATAAAACATGGGGAAATGTGCATGTATTGTAGTGATTAGAATATATGTCTGCTGTAAATAGGTTTACATGACAAAATGTATATTATACATTTATACTTTTCCCAGGTATAGTGGGTCATGTGACATGTTCTCCAGTGACAGTGACTGGGCTTAGCAGCCAATGGATGAACCTGGAGCAGGGTCACATGGGACTAAGGGAATCGCATCCGGTGCAATTTCAGCACCGGATGCGAGAGAGTAAGAAGCAGTAAAGGAATACAGAATGATAAGTATAAGGGGGTTGGGGGGCCCTTCACCTCACCTGCATAAGCAGGGTAACAAGATTTCTTTAAATCACTCTGTGTATAGGACTTTCTAGGTTCAGTCAGTTTAAAATGTTTAAACTCCAAACTTTTCTACTTAATTTTGATTGCAGAAGTAATATAAATGTTCCTCTGACCCCTCGATCACTAATGAGTTTTCCAAATATTGAAATTTGTAAAATTTTAGTTGCATTTTGGAAAGTGCTACTTTGAACCGATTCAAGTCAATGGCTCATTAATAAATAGCTGATCAAAAGCTAAATCTACTGTACACACACCCATATTCTTCCATAAAAAACAATCCTTTTCATTTTTAGATTTTCACATGCCTGTTTGGTGATACTGAAGCTGCGTTGTGAGTCACAATGTATAGTTGCTGGGATGCCAGTGACAAGTATTCTGGGATTTGACCCATGGCCTCCCACTTTTATATGGTCATATATTTGGCAGTAAGCTTTTATTTTAACAAATGCTCTGAATGTTCTGTTACTTTAATACCTTGACATTTAAAAGTCATAAAACTAGGCTAAAAAAATATACAACCTAAACTGTTTTTCCAACACGGAGGTAAAACAATATTGTACATAAAATCAGAAATAAAAGTACTCAGATCTGACAGCTAAATGAGAATTGATGCAAAATTTCCATTACAGGGGTTTTTTGGCTGCCATTGCAAACCTGCAGTTAATATGATGCCTCGTATTATCAAAGATGACATGTATTCCTTTTTCTTGGACTGTACCCTCTCGGTCTATAACCTTCTGCAATGAAATCTAAGACTGGTGGCATGGGGTAAACTTTGGTTCCTGTTGCTGCTCCATATCTTGGTAACATTGGTGGCCATCATATGTCTTTAATTTGCCATGATCACCTAAGAGTAGGCTCTCAGTTCAAGCAATGGTTTAATTTTGTTACACAAAACAAGTTAAAGTGGAAATAAGGCTCAAAAAAAGATTTGCCAGCGCTGCTGCCAAACTCTGCTTAAACTTTCTTCTAGCCATTTATTTCTAGGTTTTCAATAGAACTCTCACCAGGTCTTTATTGCTGTGTACTGTTATTGAAAGTCATCCTCTCTGTCTGACTTCAGGGACTGAAAGTGATGACAAAGTCCAAATGTTTGAGCTGTCATTAAAACATGAATAGCGGGGAAATCTTCCAATGAGGGCACTTGTTTTATAGACAAATATCTAAGAAGGGTTCTCTCACTTTGGAGAGGTTTCTTTTCACTTGCTGTTGTGTCTACAGGACAGGAAGAGAAATAAAAGCTCCACAATAGAACACAACAATAAAAAAAACCGATATGGATTTTAACCCTTCCCTACTCTATCCACAACTAATAAAAATAGGACTTTTGTACTTACCATACAATCCCTTTTTTGGAGTCCATTGAGGGACACAGCTTGATGACAATTAAGCAACCTAGGATTATACTGCCACATGCAGGAGCAATGGACACTAAGCACACAAAAATTGAAGGCCTAAACACTATAACGCCTCCCACCTGCCCAGTTGTAGCAAACAGTCAAAAGAGCGAGTAATAGCATACAAGGGGAAAGTGCAGTGTTCCTCAGTGGACTCTGGGAAAAGGATATTACAGGGAGTACAAAAATCCTATTTTCTCTATTGTTCATTGATGGATGCATCTTGATGAAAATTAAGCAACCTAGGAATATCCAAAAGCAATCCAAACAGAGGGGTGGACACACCAAAAAACAGATGAACCAACCCAAAAAGAGAACGCAAACAAATGGCAAAGACAATAAATAGCCACTAGCAGAACCTTTTAGATCAAAACTAGCATCTACAGAGGCAGACAGATCAACCCTGTAAAACTTAGAGAACGTGTGAGCTGAAATCCTGGTTGCAGCATTACAATCTGACATTGAAAAACACTAATTTTAACAGGAGAAGGAGGAAGTTTATCTTGTAACCTTAAACCTACACAGTGGGGGTGAATCAATGTCGTACACAGGAAAGATAACACAATATCTTCATTAAGGTGAGACTATGGAGTTCCTCCTGAAGTGGGAGCAATGTAAGAAACGTGATTTGTTTTTTAAATGAAGTGTTCATTGAAATACTTGGTATGTTGGAACAATTGCCTTCGATATTCTTCACCGTGTGTATATATATTTTTACTAAATGCTGCTACCATGGTATGCTCACCCGGCATTTTAACCAGGTGAGCATTTCCACGTAAGTGCATCACCAGTATTCTAATCTCTGCGCTTAGAAGCTATTTCACCTTATTTAAACAGCAATCTAATGCCAATTTATTGAAGATTGCGTGGGAGAAATGTAACAGTCATTCCATCCTCATTATGTGAAGGAATACTGTGTAAGCCTGTTTGCTGTGATGTGAATATTGTTTTTTTCTGGCCAATTGAGGAGGTGAGCATCATGCATCTATGTGCTAATAACTGTGGATTTGCTGATACTATTTGAGGCATCTCATGTCCTTAATATTTGTCATTAAGGTTTAATGAAGAAACCACTTTGGGTAAAAAGCAGGTTCTCGGTCTATATATATTTTGCACTGATTGCCAACATCCCTGTGCACATAGGGACTGAGAGCCAGGCCTCCCTCCCCTGGGTTCCCATAGTTAGTCCACAGTCAATGGTTTGAACTCTCCAGAGATGGCTACCACACCGGCGTGGGAACACTCCATTCAAGATGTCAATAATGCAGGAGGAAAAGGAGGTGGGAATTTTAAAAAGGCAGTATGGACATATTCAGTGCCTAAATGCCATCGTAAGCAGGAAATCACAACTCTGACTAGGAAGTGCACGTGTGAAGAAAAAGGTGGTTCTGCCCATTCACAAATAAAAAGGTTTACAGGCAAATCTAATAGAAGAGACAGATATTTAATTTCCTTCACAAAGAGCCCATTCTAATAAAGAGGAGGACTGCCCCATGTGGCCAGCTTGAGCAGCACAACAAAGTACAAGGCAAGCCCAGTAGTAAAGATTTTACAAATGGCCAGATAGCTTCAGTAGCAAAAACCCCACATGTAGCCTCAGTACCAAACAGATGAAAAACCTCAAGACAGCATAAGGCAACAGTGAGATTTCAAAGCCGAACACAGAAAAACTGCCTCAGCTCTGATCCTGATAACTTTACAAGCAATCGTCAGATATACTGGCCTGACCGGAAACGGAGTACTGTGTAATTGGAAAACAGATGGGTTGTCACCAATGACTACAGGATTGTCACAGAGAGATTACCAGAATACTTAATGAACTTTGAAAACCTGCGTTTCTTGGTTGACTTCCAAAAATTCAGGGCTATCGCAGAGGGAACACCAGTATACTTGTATGAATATACAGTATATAGTATGTATGAATAATATATATACTGGGAAAACCTGCATTTGGTGACTGATTGGAGAGACTTCCAGGATTTAAGCAACAGACGTGAATCTACCAGCAGCTGTTGATAGTTGAAATATCTTCCAAAGAACCAATAAACAGCAGAGCTGAAGAAAAACACATCCACTCTACTGAAGACACTAAGCAAATCTGAGCATGTAGGTAGGAGGGTTATACCCTTAAAGGGGCAAGCCTTCAGGGTGTATGTGCCTAGTATTCATTTCTCAGGTAGGCAGCAGTACAACCCTGTGATGCTTAATTATCATCAAGCTGTGTCCCTCAAAAGACAAGAAAAAAAGAGTGTTTCCTTTAATTTTCAATTTGGATTAAAGTGCCCTTTTAAAAATCTCAATTGTATTTATACAACAAGTGTTCATTTGTGGCAAGGATAGCAACAGCTTTAGTGGTGGTTTTATTAAATCCCTCCAGCTCTCAGAATTACATTAGTGTACAATTCAGGCATCCTGTTTTAAACCAACATTACAGGGAGGAGAAATGTAAAATCTTGAACGGCAGTATAATCATGCTATTTCACTTACCAGTCTTTTGACACTGTACTATCTTCTCATAAACACTATCCGCATTCTCAATTAGAGCCTTGCTGCTTTGGATTATCTGTGGGTTAAAACAATACAAAATGTAAAATATAATGCATAAAAATGTACACTACATGCGTGCATGTTGGAGATTGAAGGGTTTTATATATGATTAATCTCCAGTAACAAAGGGGAACACCAGAAGAAATATTTTTAGCTTCTTTATGAATAATGGATAGCTCTTTTCAAGCTCTGTTCACAATAGTATGTTTTGAAAATCAGAGCTTTAGTATAATTCGTGCTTATGTATAAGAGGCACACCACTCCACATGCAGTAGTGCCTGGAGAGAACTCTTAATACATTTGTTTTCTTTACACATGTATTTTAAAAGCTAATGCAAAACAATGCTACCCAGACAAATCGAAAATCCCTCTGCTCTGAGAACAATTGTTAGCAGCAAATAGAACAGGAATAACCAGTTTAAGGGTTCATGAAATGAATGGAGGTGTTGCCCCTTACTTCATCCCAACTGCCATTCTTTTAGGACAGTTTAGAAAATTTAAAAAACATCTGACTGATTGCCCTGGTTAATACTTTCATTTCCACTGCAGCAGATGTTAAAGAAATTCCAAATGCCATGAAGTAAATCACAGGGTTGGTAATGGGATTTGCTGCAAGGCACCCATATGCTGGATGCAAAAATTATTAGGAAAGAAAATACTTCAGTCTATGGCAAATTATACCTACACAGATTCTAACTACTCCTTTTCAAGGGCAAATCCAGGTAAATGGGTATATAAACACTCAGACATATACAGGAATTGTACTATTAAAAGTCAATATCAGCTGTGCTATAGTTACATAGTCAGGTTGAAAAAAAACACAAGCCCATCGAGTTCAACCGATAGAGATGTGGAGGAAAAAAAACAAAAAAAGAGAAGAAAAGCCAAAACAGAACGCTATGCCCACAGCTATCCCCTGTTGATCCAGAGGAAGGCAAAAAAAAAACCCTATAAAGCATGGTTCAATTTGCTCCAACAGCGGAAAACAATTCCTTGCTGATCCCATAAGGCAATCGGATATTCCCTGGATCAACAATCTCTGATGATTAATATACCTATAAGAACTAAATATCCATGCTATGGAAGGGTACAGTGTAGTACAGCCTTTCTCAACCTGATGGAACCCTCGAAATGAGATCTCAAGAAATCCTTGCTAAAAATGATTACATCTATATTTTACAATAAAACAGAATGATCAGTAAGTTATTGAAAGATTTAAATAGGACACCCAGAAAGGATTTTTTTTTTACAACACTCTGTTGATCTATATGACAAAAATAATCATGAAATGAAACAAATAACAGTGGCCAGAAAAGAAAGACAGACTGTTTAATTTGAGTTGTTTACACTAGTCATCAGTAGAAAAGTGTTACCCTGCATTGGTGGCCAGTGAAAAATGCTGCTTTATAGAGCTGCAGCTAACGGTTATTTTCAAAATAGATTAGTTAGCCGATTATTGAGTTAACATTTGGTGGTCAGTGGAAAAAAATTACCCTTACACTGGTGATCAGTGCAGAAGTGACCCCTAACATTGGATGTTAGTGAGACATTGCTCCCTTACATTGGTGGTCATTGCAAGTGGGGGATCAACCTGTCCTTGTTCTATGCTCCAGAAACTTCTAGTATCCTCTGGTGGAACCATTGAACCCTGTTTGAGAAAGCCTGGTGTAGTACATCGATTTTCTGTACTGGCAGTTGTCTGTAAGGTCTTTCAGCATAAAGTTATCAAATTTGGAAGTGGGGCTAGTATTGTGTGGGGACAGGGTTTACTGTTAACTTGGAGTTTTCCTTATAGTTCTGGGATCATAGGAAATGTTTATTAAAAACAAAAAATTAGTTTTTGAAACATTCTCTCTTTTGCATTCATCTCCTGTTGCACCTGACATTTTGTTTATCTTCTAGGAGTTTCAGAATAATTATACACTTTGTAAAAGTGGCTGCTTCGGTGAAATTACAGGCTGCAAGTAATCATCAGTGATGCATTTACACTCTTTAATGTCTTGCTGAAAAACTTAGCATCCTCAGCACAGAGAGCTTTAGTAGCACATCTGAAGTTGAAAATAAAGGTGAGAGCTGGAAAAGGTTACTGTGATTCAGTTTGAAATGTCAAAACCTAAACCAGAGATCCAAGTATATATTTAAAAACTTACTGCGGGACTTAAAGGAGAACTATGAGGTGAGTGCTTTTCACTCACCTCATAGTTCTAGCCGACCTGTGACAATGAGACTGTCACAGGTCGGCTCAGTAGATCGGGAGGTGAGCGAAAACACCTCCCGATCCCCCTCTCCCCGCTCCGATCTGCCAGCGCTGACTGGCGGAACGGACGGGGGAGGGGGCGGGTACAGCTGGCTCTGCCTCTAGATAGGCAGAGCCAGCTATCACTCACACAGCTGGGCGGATCCCGTCAGCTAAGTCGTGATCCGCTCCGGCATCTCAGTATACCGCGAGCTGTAGCTCGCGGTATACTGAGCTTAGGGTAACGGGAGGATGCTAGTTTGTGTCCTCCCGTTACCCGAAGGAGAACTATGGGGAAAAACACTGACCCCATAGTTCTCCTTTAAGAGAATAATGTGACAAACTATCTAGCAATCAGAGATAGAAACATTCCCTTAAAAAACAATTATGCACCACAACTAAGAAAAGATTTGTTTAGTCAAACGGTATTGGTTTTTCCATCAAGGCCAATTTCTTTTTTAAATGATTATTTAATGATTTAACAATCCATTGATTGCAATTAGTTTATGAAAGATATGATTCCTTCATTAAAATAATTGGTGTATGAAACCATTGCACATTATTATGTTATGATGGCCAGCATTAAAAGGCTTTAAAGCTGAATTCCAGGCACATATTTAAAAAAATCAATTAATGCAGCCGGCAGCTGCCGATGACAGAATGCCTAAAAACGGAGCTAGCAGCTGATTGGTAGATTAGTTCGCCTGAGAATTTTCCAACTTGCTGGCCAGGCTGGTGTCAGCACCCACCATGCAAATGTGTCCAGTTCATCAGGCACCAGCCAAAAGTTGTACCCTACTTTAGCCCACCGGAGAAGGAGCTGCAGGGACTGGTCTAGAAGCCCAGAGGGAGCCGACAGGACCAAGTGAGTAATACAGCTTCATTTGAGTCCCCTAGACTAAATGAGTACTTAACTCTTGCAGTGTGGGGGTACCCCCACAGCAAGGGTAAGTTTTTAGTTTGCCCGACGTTCTTCTTTAAGTAATGACAGCCTACATGTTTCCCTCAGCAGATGTGTACTTTAAATACTGCTCCAATAGTTCCCTAATATCCGTTGATACCCAAATGATTCCCTGCACAGCAGAAATTAGACATAGGGTAGTGAGTACTTAACATAAGTACCTCAAGAGTTACCACATTAAATACTAGGTGTCACCCAACCAACTGTGCAGAGTGGCAAGTATGTTTAAATCATGAGCGGCTAAACAGAAGTGAAAGTTTGGAAGGTAGAACAGTTCAAATACATGTCTGACCACTTTAAGGCAGCGGAATGTTTTCAAAGTAATAAAAAGGATTATTCATTGGTACTAGTCACTTAAAGTGGACCTTTACCCGCTTTCACTAAAAATGACATCAGCATGCTGGTCTGCCTGCTGATATGAAATCATCTTACATTCATTAGTTAAACAAATATATTTTTCTTTTACTTATAATTACCGTTTTTCCTGGTCCTCTTGGGCATTAATGATGCAGCCTGTTTCCAGGCGTTGCATCCTGGGAAGGTTAGATCACAGTGCATTGCTGGGAAATCTCATCTTTAATCCCATGAGATCTCAGGGAAAGGCTTTTTCCTCCACTGAGATGATGTGCAAGGTCACATGCTCTAGTTGCATGTGCCAGAGTTACAGGAAGTAAAGGGAGATAAAGAAATCTGCCCTTAGTAAAAATGGGCACCGTGAGAATAATAGGGGGAAAATAAAAAAAAAAGGTATGCCAATAATACAAATCCTGCAATTATCTATAAGTATGTGTTTGTAGATTGCCTTTACTAAACGTTTCTAAAAAGGTGTCAATTCAAAGATATGGGTAAAGATCCTATTTAAGTAAAATAATAAGACATTGTAGAGATACGGCATGGAACATGGGTACAGACAGACATTTTCTAACAATGGCATAATGCCTTATGCCTCTGTATATGTAAAACTAGCTGCACCTATGAAGAGTGCAAGAACACCAATTTAAAAGGTATTTATATAACAAATATATTATACATTCCTGGGCAAACTTCTATCACTTCAGTGAGCACAACTCAATTTTGCAATCACATTTTTTTCCAATTAGCTCTCTCCTTCCTTTGCTGAGCCCACAGCTTATCTGCCTGTACACATTTCCATTGCACCTGCTCCACTCTCCTCTAATCAATATCAAATATACTTCCACAGATTCTGATTAGCGCTCCCTAGTATCAGGAAGAAGTCCCAAAGGTGGTCTAAGGCAGAACAAAGGTCAAAGCTGCAAAGTGACAATTTAATAGAATGCAGCAGACTTTCAAATACAAAAGATCCTTGAGAAAGCCTATAACGTTACTATAAAGAGGTAACATTCATTACTGTAAGATAAAAAAAAGGAAAAGACAACAAAAGTCCACTCCACCTTTGTAAAGGTGCCCATACACTGCTCGATTCTCGTACGAGAAATGATTAGCATTTATTGTGGTAATGAAGACCGTGATGATGTATATGTGTGTACATTTTCATGACTCACATTGCAGGCTTTCTTAATTTTTTATGAAGTTTGTATTAGGCCTGAAGCCTAAAAATTCTAAATTTTTCTCCACAGGAAATTCAGTCTGACACCGGGATCAAACTGTAAACAGCTTCCCCCGTCCGTGTTACCCATCGGTCTAAAGACCTGTAACGCCATCACACCTAATGCAGATCCTTTAGACAAGGGGACACCGAGGGACATACCACAGAGGGAGAGAGAGGTGAGCATTCACTGCTGCAGGACTGAGGATCAGGTGAGTATATCTTCTTTATTTTTTACTCCTAGACCAAAAA